TTAAGACAGCAGGTGGTAGACACTGCTGGTGGACTTTTGTACAATCTTTTAGAGAGCAGGTGGTAAACACTGCTGGTTGACGTTTGTACAATATTTTAGAGAACAGGTGGTAGACACTGCTGGTGGACTTTTGTATAATCTTTGAGACAGCAGGTGGTAGACACTGCTGGTGGACTTTTGTACAATCTTTTAGAGAGCAGGTGGTAGACACTGCTGGTGGACTTTTGTACAATCTTTTAGAGAACAGGTGGTAGACACTGATGATGGACTTTTGTACAATCTTTGAGACAGCAGGTGGTAGACACTGCTGGTGGACTTTTGTACAATCGTTTAGAGAGCAGGTGGTAGACACTGCTGGTGGACTTTTGTACAATCTTTTAACGAGCAGGTGGTAGACACTGCTGGTGGACTTTTGTACAATCTTTTAGAAAGCAGGTGGTAGACACTGCTGGTGGACTTTTGTACAATCTTTTAGAAAGCAGGTGGTAAACACTGCTGGTGGACTTTTGTACAATCTTTGAGACAGCAGGTGGTAGACACTGCTGGTGGACTTTTGTACAATCTTTGAGACAGCAGGTGGTAGACACTGCTGGTGGACTTTTGTACAATCATTGAGACAATAGGTGGTAGACACTGCAGGTGGACTTTTGTACATTCTTTGAGATAGCAGGTGGTAGACACTGCTGGTGGACTTTTGTACAATCTTTAAGATAGCAGATAGTAGACACTGCTGGTGGACTTTTGTACAATCTTTAAGCTAGCCGGTGGTAGACACTGCTGGTGGACATTTGTACAATCTTTAAGCTAGCAGGTGGTAGACACTGCTGGTGGACTTTTGTACAATCTTTAAGCTAGCAGGTGGAAGACACTGCTGATGGACTTTTGTACAATCTTTGAGACAGCAGGTGGTAGACACTGCTGGTGGACTTTTGTACAATCGTTTAGAGAGCAGGTGGTAGACACTGCTGGTGGACTTTTGTACAATCTTTTAACGAGCAGGTGGTAGACACTGCTGGTGGACTTTTGTACAATCTTTGAGACAGCAGGTGGTAGACACTGCTGGTGGATTTTTGTACAATCTTTTAGAGAACAGGTGGTAGATACTGCTGGTTGACGTTTGTAGAATATTTTAGAGATCATGTGGTAGACACTGATGGTGGACTTTTGTACAATCTATTAGAGAGCATGTGGTAGACACTGATAATGGACTTTTGTACAATCTTTGAGACAGCAGGTGGTAGACACTGCTGGTGGACTTTTGTACAATCTTTTAGAGAGCAGGTGGTTGACACTGCTGGTTGACGTTTGTACAATATTTTAGAGAACAGGTGGTAGACACTGCTGGTGGACTTTTGTACAATCTTTTGGTTGACTTTTGTACAATCTTTTAGAGAGCAAGTGGTAGACACTGCTGGTGGACTTTTGTACAATCTTTGAGACATCAGGTGGTAGACACTGATGGTGGACTTTTGTACAATCTATTAGAGACAGGTGGTAGACACTGCTGGTGGACTTTTGTACAACCTTTTAGACAGCAGGTGGTAGATACTGCTGGTTGACTTTGATGCAATCTTTTAGAGAGCAGGTGGTAGACACTGATAATGGACTTTTGTACAATCTTTGAGACAGCAGGTGGTAGACACTGCTGGTGGACTTTTGTACAATCTTAGAGAGCAGGTGGTAGACAGCAGGTGGTAGACACTGCTGGTGGACTTTTGTACAATCTTTTAGAGAGCAGGTGGTAGACAATCTTTTAGAGCAGGTGGTAGACACTGCTGGTGGACTTTTGTACAATCTTTAGAGCAGGTGGTAGACACTGCTGGTGGACTTTTGTACAATCGTTTAGAGAGCAGGTGGTAGACACTGCTGGTGGACTTTTGTACAATCGTTTAGAGAGCAGGTGGTAGACACTGCTGGTGGACTTTTGTACAATCTTTTAACGAGCAGGTGGTAGACACTGCTGGTGGACTTTTGTACAACTTTTAGAGAGCAGGTGGTAGACACTGCTGGTGGACTTTTGTACAATCGTTTAGAGAGCAGGTGGTAGACACTGCTGGTGGACTTTTGTACAATCTTTGAGACAGCAGGTGGTAGACACTGCTGTTGGACTTTTGTACAATCGTTTAGAAAGCAGGTGGCAGGTGGTAAACACTGCTGGTGGACTTTTGTACAATCTTTTAGAGAGCAGGTGGTAGATACTGCTGGTGGACTTTTGTACAATCTTTTAGAGAGCAGGTGGTAGACACTGGTGGACTTTTGTACAATCTATTAGAGACAGGTGGTAGACACTGCTGGTGGACTTTTGTACAATCTTTGAGACAGCAGGTGGTAGACACTGATGGTGGACTTTTGTACAATCTTTTAGAGAGTAGGTGGTAGACACTGCTGGTTGACTTTGTACAATCTTTTAGAGAACAGGTGGTAGACACTGCTTGTGGACTTTTGTACAATCTTTGAGACAGCAGGTGGTAGACACTGCTGGTGGACTTTTGTACAATCTTTTAGAGAACAGGTGGTAGATACTGCTGGTTGACGTTTGTACAATATTTTAGAGATCAGGTGTATTGCTTAATAGTTATGGTGCTATATTTCAGTTATAATATAAACTTATTTGTGTTGATCAAAGAAAATTACTTGGTCTCACATGTTAGCAATTCAATAATTAATTCTTTCATAGATTCTTCACGTTTATTGTTGGAAAATTTATTTAATGATTGTACAAAAGACGCACAAGGCAATTTCACCAACAGTTGATAACACATTTTAAATTTACATCTTGTTTAGAATTGGACACAACAGAGCCAAAAACTGCATTAAACTGCATAGTACAGTTGTTTCGCTCTTCTCGGTGATGTTAGATTTTGAAACATGGAGACGACTAAGTCGGAGATGATCGCAAAAAATGCCAACATTTTGATGTGACGGTGTCCTAAGCCCTACAATTTGATGCAATTTCGTAATTCTCAAATAAGATTATCTGATAATTTCCGAAGAACGTCAAATACTTGTATGAATTCTGAACTGTGTCATGGGTTATGGTGTCTACCGTCTTCTATCTGGAAGATTGTACAAAAGACATACAAAACACCTTTTGGTTCATCAATGTCGTTGCTGAGCACAAGATATGTGAAGAACATAAATTTGTCGATGAATCGATTAATCTGCCATCATAGAATAAATACTTTTCAGTTTTCCCTCGATATCCAATTTTTATATATAACACATCTTTAAGTGCAGTTCATAGTCGTGTATGGACGGGTATATAGATGTGTATGTAAATGCATACCTGCCTTGTGCATATTTGCTGTGCACCAGTCGCCGACAGGAGGCCATTGATGTTTAGGGTCAGTAGCTTTACATACCTGTAAAAGTACAGTGTTGCTGGGAGGAGAAGAAAACTGAAGTTCTTAGGTATATATCTGTAAATATCACGTCAAGTATGCTTTGGAATCGGTCAAAGAGGGCGGAAATAGTTTGTATAAGGATGCTTAAAAAGCTAAGATTTAATCTAAATACTAGCAAACGGAACGATCATAAAGTTGACTCAAAGATAGGTTTGAGTGTGGCAAGTCCTATTTATAGTTCTGGAAAGTGTTATCATAGGTAAGGAATTTTGGATTTACAATATCGATTAAAGATGAATCTAATCTCACAGAATAGAGAATTGAATTACTAGAGAACATTTTACATTTCTCCAAATTAGATAAAACATTTGATACGATGTGTGATAAATTATTCTTGTTTTTTTTTTCTTTACTTTTTTATTAATAAATTATTCTTTCGAAAATGTCGATTACATTTTGATATCAGCATTAATCCTAGATCTATTTATATATTGTAACAATGATAACAATATATTTTCTAGCTTGTAAGACCTTTATGACTTCTGATATCTGGTAGAATACAACATATTAACAGGTATATATGCTGTCTATATTGTATTGTTTTATATCATAATTGGTTGCATTAAGTCCTAGTTCCTCTTGGTACACAGGCTATATAATTCAAATTATTACAAATAAAACAACAGTAATAGACTGCAGTAGTAACAAACATTTAAAACCCTGCTGAAAGTACTCAGATATAATATCATCACAGTTGAAATTTGTGAAACGAATATCAATAAATATACGTTTGTTTTCTTTGTATCATACGCTCACCTCCAGCATTTGTAATGTGAATACGTGTGTCCACATTTGCATATAACCTGGTCACGTTAAGCAGGATTTACTGTATTTTTTCTTAGTCATTAGGGTGCATATGTAAATACACTTTTTAACACTTTTTTTTAACCTGTTGCCAAAATGGTATACTAGTGAATAAGGAAACGACAACAAGACGTGCAAGTGAATTAAATATTGATAAATCTGAGTGTTAAATATGCAAACAAAGCATTATCAGCCATTAATACGACAAAACCGTTGTGATGTAGACGTTGTAGTAGGATGGATGAGGAAAGATAAGTCACCTTAATCCTGTCAATGTACTGTCATCTTACCACTTAACAATGTGACACACTAATTCTGATTATTCTTGAAACTAAAATAACACAATCGTTTGTATATTCTGTTAAACATAAATATCAATATTAATATATCAGTAAAGTATTTTGTTTATAAGAAAATGACGAACAAACAACGTTCCTGATGTACCGTGACAACCTGAGGATAAATTGTGACCGCCTACCCTTGTATACATCTTATACTTACCGGTATACGTAGCAGATCGTTGGTCACCTGTATATCTGATTAATGGCCAGGACAGTATGCTACCTACCTGTAAGCCTTTTGGTGGTAATTATCTCAGAATTACTAATGCAGGATATGCCTGGAAGTGAAACAAGACCGTATAATGGACGTTTCCGGATCTAAGTTTTGATTCTAATTAATACACTGCATAATAAACAATGTGATTTCGTTCGATAGAACGTTCTCTCCGTCATCACACTAATGATTGGGATCTACCCTTGAATCAACTCGAATCCTTTCTGAATGGAGAAGATGGCTGAATGTTGTCCATTTCCTTGTGTCAAGGGATCTGTAATAGCATTCAACGTAATATTTTGGGTAAGTAAGGTAGAAAAAACAAGATACCAATCACAGCGAATCATCATGGAATTAAACAAATAATTACATTACTCCATGAAAATCACTTAAATGGATACACATTGGGTTGACTGATATTTATCAACCCATTACTTTGTTTGATGTTATTCAGTATTAGATCAATGCTTCGTGTTAATACTTTATTTATGCATGTTTTGTCTTTGTCTGATATTAAACATAAGATAACTGTTATTGGCTAACCATATTTTAAACTAAATTACAATGTGTCCTACAATATTTTACTAAAACAGAGTAATGAATGAAGACACAAGGTTTTCATTCATATCGCTTCTCTCTTTAGCTTTGTTGTCATTTCTTACAAATTATTCCATTTGCCCAAACAATACAAAGAAAACACCGATTGTCGACATAACCTTAACCCAAACTCGAATTCGATAAAATTTGGCCAAACTATGAACAAAAGATGTACGCAACTAAAAAAATAATCAATTAAATTAAAAAAAAAAAAATCCTTATTTGTAACAATTTCTAATGGAAATGTCTGTAATACTCGCTCTGGATAACATTTCTGCTATAAAAATGAAGATACGATATACACTTATGATCTTTCCCAAAACACATGAACAAAGTAAGACAATTCAAACACAAGTTCGGTAATATAAGACAAAACATGAACAAATTTACGAAAGATTTCTTAATTGTGTACAAACATGTGTGATATGGATGACAACATCTTCGTTGAATTAATTCATGTTTTTAAATCAGACGTTCGGAATACCCATAAGAATGATCTGAGCCCTTATTAGATGACTTCATATTTATTTTGTCATAGATATTTTTCATACAAAGCTGAATTTATCGAAAAATATTTTCAAAAATACTGTGGAATACTCATGGAACAAACCTTACATCTATTTTACTGACAATTAATCGGACAGTTTATATTAAAAAAAAAAAAAAAAAAAAAAAAAAAAAAAAAAAAAAAAAAAAACAAAAACAAAAACAAAAGCAAACAAACAAACAAAAGGAAACAAATCCTTTATTCAGATACATTCCTGGTGTCTTGCGGGTATATTAAAACACAATATCGACCTTTTCATTAGTACATACACTTCAGAATCTTTATCTACAGCACAACTAACATGGACGCCTTATCACTAAGCTGTATGACAAGCAAGTTCTAAATTGTCTCTATTCTGAGTTCCATTTACATGTATTAACATCTCAGATATAATGTTCCAGGTATTTCCTCAAGGCTCTCCTTGTAAATCTTTCGTTTTTCCATATCATTTTTAAACAATCATGCAACAAATTTACTTATGTAAACCTCCCTTGATGGCCTGGATTTAGGCTGCAAGGGTCTTTCTGTTGAAGGAAACTGGAATACATGTGGAAAACACGTCGTCGGACAGGCAACCATGTATATTTCCACGTCCGTTAAGGGAATATATTCTCTATTAAACAATGTACCATGTAGATCTTTATGACATATTAACTAATTATCCTTTGTTTTCTAAACAATATATTGTAGTTAACTGTCAATTTGTTTTATGTGATACCTGCAAATTATTGAACGAAAACCTGCTTTGGACATGAGAGTGATCATATATTATCTGGATGGATTAGAAGTGTAGATAAAACGCTATCCTTTGATATCACCTGTTCAAAGTTTCATCATTCACTTAACACAGGAAGTAAACCAAGGCGTATGCTATACTGCATAATTATAGTCACGTCTGCCGTCAGATGACTCTGCACAGTTTTCTGCAATTAGCTTTAATCCTTAATACTTGGCAACTGTTATCTGCAATGACTTAGGCAGGGAACAGGTAATGAAATTCATTTCAATATTACATTTTCACCTTGTCATTTACTTTCCTTAAAATGGTATATCTGACTAATATCTGTCGGTATTATTTATTAATGTTACTCGTTCCTTGCCTTTTTTAAAACCTTTTATGTTATGTATCCATGTGTCGTTTGTATACATTAATTTGTCCCATGTAATTTTCTCTCCGTTGTTCATTCTTCTGCATTTTGACATATTCTACACCGTCTATCCATTATCAGAAATATGCCTTTTTATTCCGTTTGCTCCTTGTAACAGTGTATTGTTTATCATGTGTACACTTTTTACTCTGTTTGACCTATACTTACATTGTATCCATTTGTCATATGTAACTTTTATTGTGTTTGGTCCATGCTTACATTGTATCTATTTGTCCTATGTAACTTTTATTGTGTTTGGTTCATACTTACATTGTATCCATTTGTCCTATCTAACTTTTATTGTGTTTGGTCCATGCTTACATTGTATCCATTTGTCCTATCTAAATTTTAGTCTGTTTGGTCCATGCTTTCAATGTATCCGTTTGTCCTATCTAACTTTTATTTTGTTTGGTCCATACTTACATTGTATCCATTTGTCCTATGTAACTTTTATTGTGTTTGGTCCATGCTTACATTGTATCCATTTGTCCTATCTAACTTTTATTGTGTTTGGTCCATGCTTTCAATGTATCCGTTTGTCCTATCTAACTTTTATTTTGTTTGGTCCATGCTTACATTGTATCCATGTGTCCTATCTAACTTTTAGTCTGTTTGATCCACGCTTACATTGTATCCATTTGTCCTATGTAACTTTTATTATGTTTGATCCACGCTTACATTGTATCCATTTGTCCTATGTAACTTTTATTATGTTTTGTCCATACTTACATTGTATCCATTTGTCCTATCTAACTTTTAGTCTGTTTGATCCACGCTTACATTGTATCCATTTGTCCTATGTAACTTTTATTATGTTTGATCCACGCTTACATTGTATCCGTTTGGCCTATGTAACTTTTATTGTGTTTGGCCCACGCTTACATAGTATCAGTTTGGTCTATGTAACTTTTATTGTGTTTGGTCCACGCTTACACGGTATCCATCCGTTTGTCGTTTTGTACAACATTAATTGATTTATTTGTGTTTTCCAATTATTCTACCTTTTCCCTCTAGGTCAGAGGCTTTCTGTCTGTCAGTTCTATGCATTGTGCTATACTATTTGTTACTTTTTTCATGCGTGATTTGTTTGATTTTTATTCTTTGTCAGTTTTCTGGACCAGCTGTTCTTGGATTAGCTATCTGGTTTTATCTGACGGTAAATATTTACAGTCCAGTCCTCGATATGACGTCATACAATACCCAATCGTACGTCATGATTGCAACAGGAGGTGCATGCATCGTTTGTGGCATATGTGGGTGCTTGGGAGGTGTAAATGAAAATAAATGGTTGATCTGTATTGTAAGTATGTATTTCAATCAGTACGTTCATTGTAACTTATAAGAAAACCATATCAGGTGTGTACGTATGTAAATTCAAATATCCAATTTATCAGACAGGAATTACGTAACCAAGCATGGTGTGTGTTCTATGTTCTGTGTTCTATTGCGATCCAGGTGTTAATATCACGTAATTAGACATTTTGCCACAATGATCATATCGAGAACATTCCCGCTGTTTATCAGTACAGCTTCTAAATTTCCCTTTTTAGGGATGTCGTGGTGGTGTGATGGAATTTCTTGACTAGGCATTTTGGTGCGGCAATTCGATGCTCGGACAGGGGACAAGTCAAACGTTGTCTTCCTTCGTTAATTGTATTACAATGTCCGAAATATCAATACATTAACACAATGCATATTATACAGTAATATTGTTGATCCGAAGGTTCCAGTTCTGAATTACCCATCGTAATTGTACCCGAGTTTGGTTTATATATATATAAAGTCCTTCACTGTGAAAATGATAATATATACATCCAAAAGGGACAATTTATTCAAGTTTTATAAATATCTTTCATGGAATTGTAGTTCTGTACTCCTTATGAACTATGCATGTCCTGATTTTGCCACAATATTTTGTAACTTATTGTAAGGAATTCTTCGGTTCAACAAACATTTATATGTAAATATAAAGGCACTTTGACATAACGGGCATACGCAAATCCAAAAATGTCAGCAAAAATGGATTCCAACGCGAAACGAGGGTCTCATACCAAACGGAGACACAGTGAATAATGCAAAAAAAAAAAAAAAAAAATCCTAGAATCACTGTTTGACAAGAATATGAGAGATGGAACGTATTGTATGCTACATATTTAGGTAAATCATAACCCCGAGAAAGATTTACATTACAGTGTCGACACTCTGTTCCTCCATCGGAAGGATTTGTTTACAATATTCTTTGTTCCCGTCAGAGGGCACGTCAGTTCGCGCTATACGACTAGACCGTGTACAATTGATCGTAATTACAAAAGATTAACATTTGGTACATCCACGACAGTTTCTTAGTTTCCTATGGAGGGAACTATCACGGTTAGGGAATGTCAAACCACTCACCTCGGATCGCAAAAACAACACATTTTCTTACCTGGTACATAATGAGAATTAGACATGTGATAAATATATTGTTTAGATGGAGAACTATACTATATAGAATTACGTATCTATGGCATGAGAAATGTATTGTTAAGTTGGAGAAATATATTTTATAGAATTACGTATCTATGACATGATAAATATATTGTTTAGTTGGAGAACTATACTATACAGTATTACGTAACTATGACATGATAAATATATTGTTTAGTTGGAGAACTATACTATACAGTATTACGTAACTATGACATGATAAATATATTGTTTAGTTGGAGAACTATACTATACAGTATTACGTAACTATGACATGATAAATATATTGTTTAGTTGGAGAACTATACTATACAGTATTACGTAACTATGACATGATAAATATATTGTTTAGTTGGAGAACTATACTATACAGTATTACGTATCTATGACATGATAAATATATTGTTTAGTTGGAGAACTATACTATACAGTATTACGTAACTATGACATGATAAATATATAGTTTTGTTGGAGAACTATACTATACAGTATTACGTATCTATGACATGATAAATATATTGTTTAGTTGGAGAACTATACTATACAGTATTACGTAACTATGACATGATAAATATATTGTTTAGTTGGAGAACTATACTATACAGTATTACGTAACTATGACATGATAAATATATTGTTTATTTGGATAACTATGATACATAGTGCTACGATATCTATGATATTGAATATACTGTTCTTTTTTAGTATAACTTTTCACTTGTTGTGATCTTTGGATGTCAACTATACACGTGCTTGGCTTCCTTTTATGTATATGACAAGGTGAGTCAGAAACGCTATTGACATATATATCTTTTGTCAGTGGCAATTACGCATAGTGTGTGATGAATGAGGCTATATAATTGCATAGAGACTAGCATACCTAAATTCCGAATGTGACTTGTAGTTTGGTAGACTAGTTCTGTGAAGGAGATATTCTGTCAGATCGTCCAGGCTAGGATAATAGGTACTTATCATGTAAGAGCAATATCTGTATTTTTAAAAATTCTATTTCAAATTAAATATTCATTTTTAAAACCGATGTTTATATTTCATCGTGTTAAATATAGAATGCAAAATTGATTTAGTTTTAGTAAAAACTCCGTGCCCTTTGTTATCAGCTTGATGCAGCTGTTATTATTCATAATATTTCAGATTTCTCACGTATATGGATGTTCTTATTATTTCTTTAAAATATGCACTCAGCATATGACAACTTATACATGTTCTAGATGACAAATTTGTAAAACCACACTAATATTTCATTTTGAATGAACTGTCAGACCTGTTTCAGTGAACACCTAAAACAATAGCGGTCTGCTTTCAAGTTTCCGTTTTAATACTTAGCGGTTTACTCTAGTGTCTCCAGCTTAATTTATGGTTACCGAAGTCGTGCACAATTTCACACAATCTGACATGTAATTTTTTTTCTTACAAAGTTAAGTATGAATTATTAAAAAGACACACAAGTGAAGCATTTACTACAAATATGAAGTTAGACACAATAGAGCAAAACTTTGAAGTAAACTGAATTTAACTGTATGATAGGGGGATTTTCTTTGAGCACAATGAGAAAAGAAACGTAAATTTATAAATCAATTAACTAAGATTGTCTAGTGTATATTCTGCACGAACGGTTAATGTCACTAATTCGCGAAATCAACTTGTTTTGATGTCTTTTTTTCTAACGACGACTGACGAACAAACTCGTTACACAAGGTTGATGAAATTAAGGTTTTAGAGTCATCATAGTGATCTCAGTGAGAATGACTCTATTTCATTGTGTGATATGGAGCCGGACGTGTTCTTTAGTTTGCTGGTTGGTTCCGTTGTTGTATACCCTGATCTCATTGGAGAACGTGACATTACGTTTTTGATTGATGGATATTTACATGACGGGTTTCGTGAATGAAGCAGACGACACTTACTCTTCTGGAACACCTAGTCTTATTCTCCACGTACATTTTCATGAATCTCCCTGTAAATTTTTCCATTGTTCATGTTTACCATAGTTCTATTGAATTTTAGTTTGGATTATAAATATGTGGACATTTTAATGTCAACTATTTCTGTACTCATAACATGGCATTAAGAGCATTGTAGATGTGCTACACCATAACATTGTTTCGTCTATCATTAAAGTCCATACATCAAAGCTGAGGTACATATTTTGATAAGGTGTGAAACAGCTCCATTATCAATACTGGATTACTCAGACCGTTATCTAAATGCCCGGATGTAGCTGGGTTTGGTCTTGGTCTCCTAACTTGTTAATAGTGTATGCTTATACTTTAAATAACACCATTTACGTCATATCAAACACTGTCGACTGCTTCCTTATCTGTGAAAAATGTCTTACCTCAAAACATCTATTCTGTTTATAAATCGTGTTGTTTTGCGGCGTCCCTGTACAGTATCGTCTTTATTACATTTGTAACATCTAATAATTGTTGACAATTACGCGTTACTGTTTAAATCCACTAGGATTTAACTTAATTCATCTAAAGTAATCATGAGTCCTTGTAAACGATCCTATTTGACTGCTGGCATGGACCTCAAAATAAATTTGGATGTTAAGGAAAGTATATTTACAAAGTCGTGTGATATTTCGTCATCATCAAAACTTCGACGTGGTAACCACTTATGACCTAGTAGCGCTGTTGATTTTTTCCTCATCAAAACCAATTTTACACTTCTAAACCTTGCCTGAAATAATCCTGAGATGGTCCTGACTTAGAGATGTTCTTTTTGGATCTTTCATAAATAAAATATTGCTATCATGGCCGTCACCTCGTAACAAAACCCATTATTAACGTACTCTCTAGTTCCACTGGTGCGATTGAGAGATACTTGGGTGGAGATGCTAGGAAAAGGAAAAGCATTTTTATTTTCTGAATAATATACATCTTTAACATTCGCTAAAGTTCTGCTGGTGGTGTTTCAGCTCTAACTGTCCTGACCAAGTGGTCGGTCTGAAATAATCCAATACAGCCCCCATAATAAGAAATCGTTTATAGATATCTGCTGCAGTTTCATGAGAGCGACTGTACCCACTACCACTACTTCTGTGACGTTTTAGATGTAAGGATATATATAATCAGATATATATATATATAGATTCTTGTAGTCATGTGACCATTTAGACCCACAGCCCTTAGTGATATGAACAATTTCGTATTTCCATTCATGATGTTGATTTCTAGTTGTCTTAAATCATACGGAATTTTCTGACTTGAAAAGTTTGATTTTACGATCTATTTTGTGAAATACTCATTACTCATATTCCATGACAGTTGATTTGTTTAAGAGGTTCTCGGCAGCGATACCTACACAAACTGTTGTTTTTATTTTGGAACATGTGCTATAATTCATTCATAAACATGAGACAGCAACACAATGCTGTCTTTCATCGGTGTATAACTAATTAGTCATAATAAGATTTTTAAAATCTCACTTTGAGATTTGATTGACATTTTGAAATTAAAAATAATTATCAATACTCTAATGGTTAAGAATGGTTAGCATGATTATAATGATAAATTGGTCTCAAGTTGAGAAATGCCCAATCAGTCAAATTGTTAATTAATTTTGTTTTTATTTCTATGAATATGTATGATTTTAATATGTCTGTCACACTACAATGAGACAAAATACAAGGTGACGTTAGGTATCTTGTATGATATATAGATACATAATGGAAGGACCAGTTATAGATATCATTTGTATGTGTTTCAAAAATGTAAAAAAAATATTCATTGTTATCATAACATTTATTTCTATCCTAATTCTATGTATAAAATCATTTAATTCTTATTCCCATGAAATAATTTTGCATTTATCACATTTAATTTATAAATATTTTTCTTTTTTCTGTGTCAACCTTTACTTTCGTTTCATGTATTTGTACGGTTATGTTTCAAGTATGCTCCTCGTTATTGAACATGAATTAAGGAATGGAATATTGTACAAAGACGTATGACTGAATACCAACTTTCAATAGAAATATAGAGTTAGATATAATAGAGCCCAACAATTAATTTAACTACATCATACAGCTGTTTCGTCCTTCTTTGACTGTTTCGTCCTTCTTTGACTCGTCAGTGATACTACATCATACAGCTGTTTCGTCCTTCTTTGACTCGTCAGTGATACTACATCATACAGCTGTTTCGTCCTTCTTTGACTCGTCAGTGATACTACATCATGCAGATGTTTCGTCCTTCTAGGATTTGTCAGTGATACTACATCATACAGCTGTTTCGTACTTCAAGGACTTGTCAGCGAAACTGAAAAATGTCAAAATCTAGATTGGAAAGTGCTTTGCCAAAAGAAGGAACTATTGTAAACTATTCTTTTACACATTGGGTATTGCGATAAAGCAGAAAACGCTGACTGTTCAGAAGCTTCCGGGGTTTTCCTCGTAGCATCTCGGTTATCCATGTGCTGTTTTATTTTGTTCTTATTTTACCGTTGTTTGTTATATTGTAGGTATTTGTTTTTGTTTTAACTGATCTCTGACATGTCACTTAAAAATCTTCGTGTCATACACCCTGTTCATTCAAGTTTTATTTGTCGGCGCACAGGTTTAAATGCTTAATGTCCCTAATATCTTTGACGAACACTAGAAGGACTACACAACAGATGGTTAGCTTTATTCATGTATATATATACTGTACCTTATAACTAATATGTCTAAAAGTGTTATTCACTTGAGTATCTTCCGAACAATTAGCTGAGTAATGGTGTTAGGTGTATGTTGTTGACATTATTACGACTTCTAACTTCATCATAATACATTAGGTAATTTGTCTTGTTGGATTTGTTTTGCTATCACTGTCCTTTTTTTAATTATACATCACTTTATCATGCCTGTTCTGTCATGTTATTCCAATATTTCTCATTTCATGCCGTGTTATGCCTCTTTGGACATATGTGTCATATCGTCTTGTCTTGTCGTTAATCACTTACATTTGTTACACATGAATCTTGTATTACTACGAATGCCATACTTGACTGATATCGACTGACTTGGTATATTTTACTGTTTATTGATGTTTCCTTTGTCATACGGTATATTTTTGTTACATTTTAATAATTTGTTTAATAAATATATTTTGTTGCAGGTCGACACAAAAGTTTCCAGTGATCTCAACTACAGTATTTATCATTTATATCACTATAAAGAACAGTCCACTGCAGCTATTGACCGAATTCAGCGAGAGGTATTAATTTCATTCTTTTTAAAAATGAATTGATGTTGCTAAGAATATGCTTTACTTAAGATGATCGTATCAGAAGTTGATTCCTTCCGCTATATTTTTAAACATACTAATCACATTTCTGGATATCTTATTTGAAGTAACTTAATTTTAAGTTTTTCGGGTGAGGTGAAAGAAAATAAATTTTATACATATTTATTTAATACAAGGTAATAGCGTAATAGGAACTATTGGAAATATTTTTGGAATTAGTTCATAAAACATACGGCCATTTTGTCATTAAAGTTTCTTCTGTGATCGTAGTGGCACAAATGCGGCAATGTAGAAAGAAACGTTAAATGAATATAGGACTGATCAAAATGCAACATCACACACACAAAATCAATAATTTTTCAGATTCTGTCGGTAGTTTTTCGGATTAAAATCACATAAAGGAATACATACTTCCCTAGTTCTGTTTTTTTAAAATTATAATTGGTTCGTATGACTACTAATAAATGATAATTTAAATTTTATTTTTTTAAATCTGCTGTAGCTGTACTGCTGTGGATATCGTGGTTATACAGATTGGCGGTCAGCCATGTATTACCGGGATGTCACCTTATCGGACGGTAGAGGGCGTGAAGAGCTGCCGATTTCCTGTTGCCGTGATGGTGTGGAGTCACTATGTAACGCAGTAGTGGACATACCAATAGATCTAAGTAGTATCTATACTAATGTGAGTAGTCACAACACTCTTAAGGGGATATCATAGACAAGCTACAAGCAATGTTGTTCAAAGAAGTTAATTTGTTTTCATAAGCGACCGAGAAACGATGTAACAGAGAACTATGCTCCATTCTTGTTATAAACTATAACACTATTTAACATATATAAGATATTTGACAGAGTTTAACAGATGTAACAGATCTAAGAGAGTTAACAGAGGTATAAGAGATATCACACATCGAAGCAGATAACACATTTCAATTGCTGGTGGTTATGATGAAAAATGATCATCTTATCTTTTTTATCTAGGGATGCAATACTGTGCTTCAAAACTGGCTTAAAACCAAGCTTTTGATATTTGGATGGGGTGCATTCGTACTTTCCTCATTTCAGGTATTTTATTTCCAGTTAATGGAGTCCTTAAAGTAATCATATCATTGTTGTAGATGCAATGCTGAATGTAAATCAGATTTAATTGGTTTTAAGGAACGTTAATTGCAATTATGATGCCAAAAAGTCCAACACTTTAGCAAACGATTATGGTTATAATCACTGCAGTAATGAATGCTCCATTGGTTAAATGAATGGTCAGATAATTATACTATTATTACAATATCCCTAATATTCCTTACTGTTTACCTGTTTTATTTCAGCTTCTAGGTATCGTCCTTTCCTGCTGCATGTACAAAGCCTTAAGAGACCTATACAAATAACTGACCTTTAACATGATCGGCCGAAACAGTTTAAATGTGTGGTGATGGACTTCATTCACAGCTTCCATGTTAATTTTGTTTATTTGGTTGAATAAGAAATATTTGTCTTCCTCAAATCTTGTTCATTTGGTCGTATTTGTGCAATTACATTTGGAGAAAGGGTCAATATGTGTTGACTTCATTTTGAAGGAAGAGCGAGTTCCAGAACGAACATTCTTCGGGATGGAAAGTTTAGGCAAACATGTTTATAGAAAAAATGGATCTTGACTCGTGTAATCGTAAAACAGCTGACCTAGACTGAATAACTTTGTTCTCTCTGGATATAATTCATAAGGAAGTAAGCTACTTGCGGGAAAATATGATACATGTTTTATGGTTGGGAAATTTCTTTTGTATGAATAAATTATGCATTTTTTATTTATTACTACTCTTTGAGTTGTATATGAACTTTAATGTAATATCTGATAAAATCATCATAATTGTTCTGTATTGTACTCAAATGTGTTAAAATATTTTTTTCTTCACCATGATTTAAATACAAAAACGACTCTTTTCATTCCACTCTAGTGACGTAATGACATTTTGTGTGTTTATTTTAATTGACGATCGGGTATTTCATACACATTTGATCTTCATTTTTATTATCCCGTGCTAAGGAATAAATACATGTAATATACATAACGGAGAATATAAGTTGATTGTGCATTATATATATGGTTCGTCACTCTTAAGCTGATCACTTTGTATGCGACCAAGCACGATGTTTTGTACAATGTATATGGCAAAACGATTACGTTTTTACATTGTATTTTACCAAATAAACCGCTTGTACTTTTGTATGTGACCAAACAAACTGCTTGTAAATTGTATGTGACAAAAGACTTATTTAGATTTGTATGAAATAAAAAACTGATTGTATATTGTATAATACACAAAAAAATATTTTGTATATGACAAAAATGATTGCAGATTGTATGTGACAAAAACTTATTTTAATTTTTATGCAACAAAAATAGATTGTACAATGTATGTGACGAAAAATCCTGATCATACATTTTATGTTTCAATAAAACTGAATGTATGTGACAAACTCTAATTGTACTTAGGATATGACAACAATAATTGAAGATTGTATGTGACAAAACAGATTGTACATGACAAAAACAGATTGTATATTGCATGTGACAAAAATAGATTGTGTATTGTATGTGACAAAAACATATTGTGTATTGTACGTGACAAAAACAGATTGTGTATTGTACGTGACAAAAACATATTGTATATTGTATGTGACATAAACAGAATGTACATTGCATGTGACAAAAACGGATTGTATATTGTATATGACAAAAACAGATTGTGTATTGTATGTGACATAAACAGAGTGTACATTGCATGTGACAAAAACAGATTGTATATTGTATGTGACAAAAACAGATTGTATATTGCATGTGACAAAACAGATTGTGTATTGTATGTGACAAAAACAGATTGTGTATTGTATGTGACAAAAACAGATTGTATATTATTTGTGACAAAAAACAGATTGTATGTGACAAAAATCCTGAAACCTGATTGTGTATTGTATACAACTAGACATGATTTTACATGTACCAACCTTATTACAATGGTTTTACTCTAGGTATTATTCATATAATAAATCCCGACCAGTAACATGGTTAATACTTTTGTAAATGAACTATTGAATCCATCAAAGATACGTCATACTCTGTTGTAGAAAGTATGTCTATGTCATATGAGGCGCATATAGATCACCCACCTTTTAGAGTAAAACCCTTTTTGGCGATGACAGTTATGAAAATATATTAATTTTCTTTTGTAGACGTAATATACTTTATGAAGTATTTACTATGAAATAAACAAAAGACATTTCATATAAGATATTAAAATTAAGATATAAAGATATTTTCTGCTCAGATGATAAAGTATTCCGTGAGGAAAAGAATTTTAAGTATGCAGCTGGTAACCTGGCGTGTGATAATAAGGTCCAAATTACAACAAGGACACTTTATGTGCTTTAAATGTCACGTATTTTAAAATGGCAAATCTAAAATGTTTATTTGTATCTAATCTTATAACACTTTTGTCAGTGTATTACAAAAATCATTAAGTTGACAAAACAGCTGAAGTTAATGACAATATAAAAATGTATTTATACCATTGCTAGTGATGAGACTTGTCTTGAATTGCAATTACATGTACATTTGTAGTTTTGGCCAATCGGAGCAGTGTATTATATGCACTGCATTGAAATTCACTGCCGTTTTTCTGCTTAGACACAAATGAAGCGTAGGTTCAGTAAGTTAATTTTCAGTCAAAATCCATTTTGGGGTTTCATTAATTTTGTATATGAAAACAGCTTTGTATGAGGAAAGAACACCACTGAAAGCGTCTCATTCATAACGGACATGCCTTATTGTCAAGTATAATTGCACAAGGAGATTGCCAAGTGCCCTCATGAGGACAAGGTAATTAACAAAACGAAACCAACAGGTACACTAACGAGCACCAAACATTTCCAACTTCATTTCGCAACAGAATATAGAATATTTCCCAATGAGATCATTATGGCAACCGTAAATATCCTCAGTTTTTTTCATTTGCATCTGTGGAAACAATGTATTGTGAGTTTGTCTCCCAGTAACCGACATAAAAATTGTGATATTGAGAACAAGTCCATGTAATTAAATCAACTTATCAACTGCGTCATGTAAACACCTTGGATAAGGAAGTTGCTTTCAACAATAGAAAAAAAGCAATAGAGAAACTACCACTCACAACGTACAGCTCGGTAAAAGGCTGTCTCTGTTTTAATTCTTGGTAGAAATAGATGGAGATTAACGACTGATGTAGAAAACACTGGCGCGTCCTTCATATCCAATTCGGATGGGTATTACTTGCTAGACATGGCCAATAAAATGCTTGTTTTCTAAGTACAAGATATCACATATGTGTGTGTGTATATATATAAGGGAACTTAAAAGACTTTGTAAGTTCTAAACAGTTTTGATCAGCCCTTCAAGATATTTAACCTCGTATGAAAACAAAATCAAGTCCGCCAAAAGAGAGGGCAAGGTTAGTTCCAATAGTATTCAAATAATTGTTGGAAGATCTTACAAAACTTTGCTAAGATATTGTCAATCAGAATTTCGATCCTTCAAGGACGCAATATTGGTAAATATGCATCAGTATAATCAAAAATCCTATATTTGTACCTTCATTTACCTTTGAAAAGAAAACGAAGGCTCTCCTTCAATTTAGAATGGAGTAAGATATTGTGATAGAAAAGAAATGTTTTATGAAGTATTCGGGATTTGTCAAAAGCTCTTTGGAGCTCTTTAAAATCTCTATATCATTAATTCCACTTCTCCTGTAAACAGCATCACAATTAATTTGATAGTTTTAAAATTGACGGTAAGAAGATTTGATACAGGTTTAATTGAGCAACTGTATGAGTCAGTACCAGATGATTTGTTTTGTTTTGTTTTTGTTTTTGTTTTGTTTTGTTTTGTTTTGTTTTTTTTTTGGGGGGGGGGGGGGGGGGGGGGGCTATTAAATACCATTTTATAGAACCATAAAGACTCTAATATCTACAGTGTGCTGTACACTGTAGCGATCAGGTCTCTCAAATAAAAACATTACATAATCAATACCAATGAGGTATATTTGTACAATATTGCTGATAATTACATATCATAATCTAGAAACCTCAAAAAGGATATTTATTCTGTAAATTGATGAAACATGTGTTAGCATATGACTTTGGCCTCTGTCTATAGTACAATTATTATATTTGAAAGTCTTCATCAGAACTATAGTTAAAAAACCAGCAAACAAAATACCGACATGTCAACACCATCTAAATTCAAATTCGAATAAAACTGAAACAAAATATGGCCAAAAGACAAATAAAAGGCAGATAACCCTTCCATTGTACGAGGAGAATGATACTAAGTGTTCCGGAAAGGTAAATGTCTGCAGATTTGATTGACTACAGTGTCATGCCAATCAACGTTTCACGTTCTGTGGGGGAAAAGGCGAACAATAACGGAACCGCCAGGCATACTAATATCATTAAACTATTTGGACTGTTTTAGTCGAATGCATGTTTTTCTTTTTTACGGATGACTTTATAACCCTTAATGGGCGGAATACTTAAGTGACCTTCAGTACGCTCATAACGTGTTATTCAAACGGAGGTAAGTGGGACGATTACTTTATACGGTTGCTTCAGAAGACTCTCTTAATAATGACAAAGATATGTACACGCTTCTAAATAAAGATCTAAATGCCATATTCATTTCCTTTGAAAATAATAAGGTGTTTTAATTTATATAATTCATACGTTTTAAAATTTCAATACGTACATCTGTATATGAAACATACACATAATTAAACTTAATCGTGTTTTCACTAATATCTTGATGACAGATAATTTATGTTCACGATACAGATTTAATTAGCATTTTACAGATATAATTTACCTTTAGATTGAGACAATAACTAATTACATCGACTGTAAGTAAAAGTAATTATAAATAAATGAAAATGAATTAAAATAGGATGAAATTATTTAAATATGCTTTTGTTCTTTTCAATTCAAAGCTGTATTACAGCAATCGAACGACGTAGAATTCAATAAAATTGGTATAAAAGAACTAGAATAATAAGGAAAAGAAACATATCTAAATATCGTTATACCTCAAACATAAGGATTTCAGAAAACAATGAAAATCTGAAGATTATATTACATCTCTTTATTTTCATATTACTTCCCCGAAGAAGCTTCGTGTGAGATACGTAATCAAACCATTAATCATGTCCATATCACACTCGACAAGTCGATATTGAAGAAAATACCAAATAACACTAAGGAATGGATATATGGATGTTTTATTATTACCATCAATTAATGTACACAAAACATGAATATCATGTTATTAAAACCTATAACCTTACTTTATAGTGTTTTACACTCAAGGTTTATATAATCATAATCACGCTGTTTGTTATAGTATTTCTAGTAGAAAACAGTGCTTTCTCGGTATGTTGTCTTATACACGTATTGTAATTTCTACCTACCGACAGAGCACTCTTCATCTAAAGTGAAAAAGTAATTACGTATACATAAGATTAAATCTACCTCAACAATTTTTTTCTCATAACTATTAACATATCGATCTTATTACTCACCCTAATTCATAGCATCAAAAATTACTTTCTATCGTTACATCTTGTTTTGTATGTATGTACAGTTTATCTATAACAAGGGAAGAAATAGTCCCCTTTCATTAGTTTTTTTCTCTTTTGTATATTTACCTTGATCTCTATTGTAAGGATGGGGATGAATTCCACGATTACCATGGAAACGAAATATCGATATCAATTTAATCGGAGAAAAATATGAAATATGAATTTATTGTCAAGAAAGAAAATAAGTTGAAAATATTTCATATATTATGAATTAAATACTTTGTTCACCGATTTATCGGAAGATGACTTCTTACATTTCTCATTTATAGAGGTAAGTTTTCATCATTACACATGTTATCTACGACCTGGATACCTTCACATTTAAAATGTATACCAATACTTGGAATGTTTATCGTTGTATATAAAATGCTTTAAGGTTCGTTAATATACGTTTTCCTCAGAAGAACTGCACATATTCCTGATAGTTTTGTAACTTGCGGGCAACTCTATTCTGATAAAGTGTCTCTTTTTTAAGTCATCATTAATTAATAAACTGAAAAACAGTTAACATTTGACGAGTTAAAATGGATTTTTTCTTAAGCTTCTCATACCGCCTCGATTACACAATGCCAGGGCCACACTTTATAGTCTTACCGTCTCACGTGTCTATTCACCAAAGCACTTTATTGTCTAAAATCTCTACTTGAGCACAAAATGTTCTTCACATTTCGTTGTTAACATAAATATATGTTTCTCACATCTTCTCTTTAACATAAACTGTATGCATATTCCTCACATCTCGTTGTAAATTCATTACATAATTTCCTCAAATTGTGATTTTCTAAACATGCAAAATATGCTCCTGAAGGTGTGTGTTAAGTATTAATGTTTCTGAAATCTCGTTATAAGCATACTCATCGCGTATTTCAGTAAAAGGTGTGATCCTCAATTTGCGTTGTAAGTATACAATTTATGTTCCTCATGTCGCGACGTTTAATATTTATTCCATAGAGTAGTACAAATGATAAAACCTCATCAGTCGAGAGTATAGTACGATTATTTCATCTCCGAATGGCGAGACAAATTGAAGTCCCGCTGCAATGCATTCGGTTGGTAGTCCAGTTAACAGTTGAACGGTTCTGAGATTCGCAGCTGGTTTTGTTGTTATCTGATTGTATAATTGACATGCGATAGTGTTTTGATAAAATGTTTTATGAGTTACCCAAGCTGTGTTCCAACCTGACTAATTTGATTACATTTAAAAGTAAGAGTTGGGCATTTCTTGCAGCCGTTCTCATCCTTGCTGGGAATGACGCATTGACCAATCTTTGCTTTTGGACAATTCCTTAGAACGGGGCACCTAACCTGCTGGGAAGGCCCGCTGCATTTAACGATTTCTGGACAGACTGGACACCTGCGACCACGAACTATGATGTTGCGCGGGACCGAGCAGTGTCCATCAGGTAATGTAGTTTTGCAAGATGCAACCTCTGGACAAGGACCCTTCCGTCTCTGGGATCGCTTGGGAGCGACGATATTCACACACGTTATCTCTTGACAACCATTGTTCAATTTTTTGCCACTGTAAGATCTCCGTTGGTAATCTCCACATTTTGGAGTTGGACAGTTTCGATTTTGGCTTAAACATCTGATGATTGGACACCCTCCATTTGGATTTATCTTTGTCTCCTTATAACGGCATTTCGGGGTGTAACAGCTCCTATTTTTCGAAGGTCCAGCCGAAAATGATGCCGCTGGTTTTAAATTCCGAAAAGCTGGCGAATTCTTTCGAACTCCAGGGGGCATTGGACTTCCAGGCTTTCTGGTCATTACTGCAGCTGTTAAAATAAATAACACATTTACATATGTTTTGGAATATTTACTATGAAACAAACAGCATTAATTTTTCATGGTTATACAAAATCCAGCGTTACTCTGATATCGCATGAATAAAAAAATCATTTTCATAATTGCAATATATTCTTAATGATATAAACAGGCCCAATCGCTTGTTTTCTGCCTTCTAATGTTCTGGTTGGTTTAGTTTTATGTTTTTCTTTTGTGACTATTTCGTTTTTTATATGCAAATACAAACTAATCTAATCATGTGTAAAACAATAATTTTCATTGGTCATTCTTACAGCATAAAACGTATCGACGTCATTTTGTAACGTCACTCTTGATTGGCCAATGCTGTGATGTACACAATATCAAGAGAAAAGAGTCCATGCGAATGAAAAAAAAATGCACTTTGTGATTAAATCACAAGGATTTTTATAAAATAATTTATGAATATATAATTATTTTATGCTATATATCCATAATACAAAACACGAAGTGTGGTATTGGCATAAGTTCTGGCTCAGCAACATAAAAAATAAACAAATTCATATTTAAAAGAATTAGAGTTACTGAAACATAACGATAAACAACAGATTTTTTACAGACGTTATAACTAAAAACGCTACCAAGAAACGATAACTAGAGGACATAATGCAGTTGTGCCTCTAACACTAATTAATTTATAAAAGAAGACTTAATAACATGCTTTAAAATGATGATATTCTTAAAAACCCACCTGATATAAATGTCCATAATGAAAAAACCACGAGCAACAGAAAAAATAAGTCCTTCATATTCGTGTCTATTCAAAATGAACGACTATGTAGAAGAGTTCGAGCACGCTCCGTACCTCCAACCGGCCGCTTGACGTGCTGGACGGAAGCTGTCTTGTTAATACATTAACAGTCAGATGTCTTCATAAAAGTGATGTACAGCTTTCAGGCTTCGCATACGTGTTTTTGTGTATAGTTGCCTACACATCTGACTAGAGCCTTTGTTTCCGTTATCCAGTTAAACGATGCTGTTATACATGTAAATGACTGTTAGTACTTCTAATTAAAACAGTAATATCGTGTTTTGTAATTAAGCTTTGAATTAATTAGTACAGCTCTTGTTTGGTAACACTTCCGGCATTATGCTAGTCTGCTGTGAAACACTCTTCCCCCATTCTGTTAATTTAAATATTATTTTGTAAATTAGTGTTTGTAAAATGTGGATATCAATTGACATTTAATTGATATTTTAACTTGTAGACTTGTTTTGTAGTAGGGAATAGCAGAAAAATGGTTTCTGCATTAGAATTAACACGTCAATGAAGCAGAAACCAAATCCTATATGTTTACTATCAGCCGAATCTGGCATGATGTTTAAAACGTTCATATGCCAAATTATTTCAACGATTTATGCAGAAATGTACAATCGTTTACCATATAGTGTTTTAATGTCAAGACTAAGTAATCATTTAGCATCATCAAATTACATATCCAGTACACATTGCTTATTTCCACCTGTTTCTAATTATTTTGACAGTCACACCATTATCATCGATTAAAGCAAAAGTATCTTAAATACCAAAAGGAATAGATCATAGAGTAGAAAGAAGAGTAGAGGAAAGTACTTGGCTCAGTTCAGTAAGTTAGTGGTTTCTACAGCCATATAAAGATAAGACATCTGTTTTAAAAACTTAACATTTGAAGTTGTAATTTACAGTCCTTGGCCAACTGTTTCCGATGTCTTACACCTCGCCATTCATTCTATTCACTGTTGATATAGAACTACATTATATTTATCAATAATATATTTTTTCATCCAATGAAGGTATTTCTGAACATTTGTCATTTCCGAACTCCAATGAACCAACCCAGCCATTGCATTTTGCCATATAAGCTACAGCACGTTGCATAATGATGTTTATTGCAGTGTATATAATTGATCGAAAAATATCGCTTTTGACTTTTCCTTACTTAAAGTACACAATACAAGTTAAATGCAGATTTGGAGCTGGAGGGCATAATTTCTAGTGGTAATAGTGACAGCTTGTATAGATAAGAACGATCAAAGCCTCATTTCTGGTAGCTTGTTTCGGTTTCGTTCTCCACTTCAAACTTATCAACATGCACTGTTATGTAACATGTTGTCAGCTATGAATTATGTTATTAGCATTTACATTGGTATTAATTACAGACAAATTATGAAATTTCATAACAGATGACATCCATAGCATTAATTAGCTACTACTAATCAATATGGTAATGTATGCATACAAAATACCACTTTTTGGATAATTGGATTGTCCCCAATTAAATCACAACACTGATACTGACCTCAGTTTGTAACTGATGTTACTGGTGGCGAAGGGCAAACGGAGTTATTTACATTGACTATATTCACTTACAATCATTTGACAGATTTCATCTTAATTAGCTTTGGAATTTTTCCTGATCATATTCTACTAAAGGTGCTCAACATGTTTTATCTTATAACATCAGAAAATAAAGACAGATGTTAACACCTAAATTATTTTCTCTGTATTATCTCTTGAAGTTTTCAATTAAAAGGTAACACTTAATCATTCGTTCTAGCGTGACAAACATAAATATTAAATTATCTTAAATTGCAGTTTTGCATAGAAAATCTTACCATTGGATATAGTGTTAACACATGGAGGAACATATATTTTGTAACTTGACATTACCTTAAATAAAGAAAATTCATTGGATACTCTAATATTTACATACACAATATGGAAAACTGTACACACATGATTTATACACTTACTTAAAATGTACATACTTTCACAGAAACGACATTTCATAACTAGGGGTCTCGAACGCAAATATGTGTTTTGAATTAAGTGTTTATGGGGCAAAGTGTATATCATTATACTAACATATACACTATGAAATTCACTAGATGTTTTCAAAATGAAATCTACATGTTATTTTTTACTTTGAGTGGAAAGGGTCTTGGATTTTTCACTTATGTTAGATCGTATTACTTCTCCTGTTACAGAGGAGATAACTTAGAAAATAAAGATGTCGATGAGCATGATTAAAACAGATAACAAGTTTGTAGCCATCACATACATACGTTGTTTGGCATGTTTGGATTGATAAATGCTATTTTATTTTCACACTGAATTCAACCAAACTAAAACCAAACCAAACTTTTTTAAGTGTGCTCATTCTTCTTCACTGACTGCTAACATTTATTTTTCAACTTATTACTTATCAAATAACTACAAAATCATCATTAACACAATATTGAATATAGACCATGATTGTTTATAAACACGAGGTCTAATTAAATGTCCTATAAATAGAAATGAAGCAATGAAAAGCCAAACGATATAGAACTTTCACACACTTTCATACAAGCTGAAGTGGTATTGTCGTATTGCGATTGTAAATTCTTAAATGTGTATCTCAAAAACAAAATACAAAAAGGACATATAACAAAGTTACTTTTAAATTAAAAATACGTCAACCTTTTGCTTATTCTTATCCATAAAATATAAAAATAAGGAATGCTGGAATCAAAATGCGCGTCCCAAAATTACAAATGTTACGCGTAGAACTGTGTATGTATGAAGAGTCATATACATTGTATGATGGTGAAAACTGAAAGTGATATTACTTAATCTGTGTATACGTATGCAAACCGGCATATAGAGGTTAGCGAAGTAATGATAAACGAACAGGGAGAAATGTGTGACAGATTTGTGAGGGAAAGCTGTCCACACATCACCAATCACCTGTCTATTGTAAAACAAAACATCTCCTGCTTAACACAGCGCTATCCTATTTCTATGGGACATAACATACACACGACTTTCTCAGGAACAGCTGTCCTTGGGTTAAGGCTGATATGATGCTTTTTATACAACACATGATAAATATATTTACGTAGGAAATATATAGGTATTTTATGCAATAAGGCTACTGTTCTGTCAAGATGTGCGTAATAAAATCTGTCTGTGTTAGAACGAAACGGAAAAAAGTAAGCGCATAGCCTTTATGTGAATGTGTCGTCTAAATCTTTCGGTTCGTCAAATATATAATGCAGAATCTATATATAGATTACAAGTTCATATGACTATAACATTACATCACCAAAACAATACACAGGCAGGTCATATAAAACTTTAGGGGCACAATATGATGGCTCAAATTGTTGCAACCTTTCCAAATATTTATTTAACATTTCTAAAAATGTATCAGACTATTGGAGATAGTGTTCTTATAAGATTCTTTAACGTTATGTCTTTAAACACTATTAGAATGTCGTGAAAGGCTTCTTCAAACTTTTGGGAGCATGTTCCTACTAAAACATTCATGTGTGTAATGAGTTATTAATTCAGTGTTTCATCTACTTACAACAACACACAATCATGACATAAGACGATATCTTCTAAATCCAAGGCTTATGTTCACGATAAATATTCTCACTTCACAATTTGTCAATTGAATATCTCCCATTCTATTTGAATTGAGTTGGCTTTGCTATTTTGACTGTTTATACATGACGAAACTAAAATGTCGATTTTCTGTCTTCTTTTTCATATTATCTGTCTTCTTTTTCATTGCATTGGAACCTTTCAGTTATTATTTTTCCAAAAATAATCTGAAATGTCCCGGTTACATCTAAAACAGAAATTTAAAAAAATCCTAATTTCATGGAAATAACAGACAGACAGACAGACAGACAGACAGACATGAAGTAGACATAAAACTTAGAAAGACTTAAAGTTTCGAAAGGGGCAGTAACCCTTGCCTTGGATACATTTTGTTATCGTCACTGAGAACTCTGGCTGACGGTTGCTCTTGACAATAAGGGAAATTGCAGAATTTCAAGTTAATGTTGGACAAGAATAGAGAAATTAATTTAACGTCGATTTGGCACACAATTATTGATTCTGGACTTTTGTATCCGATTCTCTTTCTATCCTTTGTTATATTTTAATCAGAGAACAAACACAACAATATTCATCAGAATTATCAGCAAAATCAATGAACAATTTCTATTAGCTGTGTCATTCTAATTTTGTTGATATAATGGAAAGATGCTAGAATCAATGAAAATGGCTCCAAAAACCGTCAAAATCAGATAAAGTTTTTATAATGATACTTCCCTAAAGACAGCATTGCAAGACTACATTAAGTTAACCGTTAAGTTATTGAAAGGAACATATCAAGCGTTAAAACAAACAAGGAAAATTCCTTGTTGCAAAGGGACAAAAATATTTTTAAACATAGAATTGGAAAATAATTAAGATGACAGTGCTTACTAATAAATTCTCTGATTCATTTTTGATATAATTGATATTATACATTTCGTAATGCCAGGCTGTCTCCAATGTCTATGACACAGGGTATATATCTACACGACAGATTGTGCAGGATCTCTCATCATGCTTAAATTCGCAGTTTCACTCTGGATTTCAATAACTGTTGGTGAGTACTTTTTTCCACAAAAAGAATGAAATCTAATTGGAATACAAACGAGATCGTTTTTAAAATTGAACATCAAAAATAACGAAAGGAATATAATGTTGTCACTTTCATGACTTAATTAATCTTACTGGAATATCCCCCTGAAGGAAGGCTATTATCAATATGTTATTTTAGAGCTCTGAATACTTAATCGACGAGGTAGATGTCAGTTGGAGTAAACTGAAATGTCATAAGATCAACAGAGTAAAGCAAAAGTGAAGGCTATCGGAAATCCTCGAGATCGGTATATCTTTAAAACAAGCAGGTCATTCCAGTTCGGTGATCTATTTAAAACTGACAACGGTCGGTGTCTGGATGGACGGTTTATTGGTATTAAAGGAAGGTTGTAAAGTTTTGACTTTGTACAAAATCCTTCATAAGATTATTGTTTGATACTCATTAGGAACCATTCATGCTTGGCAACTCAATCATTGGGACATGTGAGTGATTTTCCATAATCTAGTTTTGTGTCAGCAACTTCTTCAAATTCTCACTGTTTTTTACCGGTTATCTGTGGTCTCGTGTCGTGGATTTCACTGCACACAACATGCTTTTATAAACCGAAATTCTGTCGTCCTGATGACATACTGCTTGTTGAACCAAATGATTCTCGTGGTTTGAGTTTTTATTACGATTATCATTATTATTATCATGATGTACATTTTTTCGTGCTTCCAATAAAGATTTCGTAACTGAGAGCAAACATACTGTGTCACGATGCATCCGGGTCCGAATGTCGCTATTTCAACACAATTAAAAATAATCACAGTGTTATAGTTTATAGTATACATCAGAAGCTTGTAGTTCTTACCACTGATACCACGTCTCCCTAAAACTATGGTTTTTTTCAGAATAATTCTATTGTACACTTCTTTCTACAATAGGAATTGGGCAACAGGCAATGCCTTTATAAGCCCTCTCCTGATAGCATTAACAGTATGTACACATCAAAATATCGTATATAACAAACATGTAGTCACAAACATCCTAAGATATTTAAAGAGTACACATACAAAATAAGGTAACTAACAAAGACGGTGTGTATCACTGATATATCTGTGAGTTATTTCAACAATAAGTTCATTTGTAATTACATCAACATCTGAACAACCACATAAAAAATCTGAATAGTCAAAGGAATAGCATCATCTAAAGTAGAAATGGCGTTAAAGAAGGTAAGTATGTACAGAGGGCAATGGCGAAAGAAATGATCACAGTCTTCTATATGGAAACCACAATTACAGGCTGGACTATCACAGAGATGGGAATAAAATCAGTCAAAGTTAAGGCTACTAGCATTATTTCTTAGTTTGCACAAAATAATATCAAATTTTCTTTTACCATGATACCTAAAAGTAGAAATACAATGCTGTTGAACAGACATGTTATGATCATTTAGAAAATTTTTTTTTTCAACTGCATAATGGAAGTCATATTGGGGAACAGACAAGATGGATTATTCCATTCTGACAAAATTTTAGGAAAAACGCTATTGGCGTACAAATTTGATCTTTGTGGTGGGATATAAAAAATCCTGTTATGACGAAAGTGATGATTATCAGTATTGTAATTTGAGAATGGTTGAAGGTAATCAGAAACATGAGATGGACAATCATTATTAAATATCTTATAAAACAGAATATTTTGGTGCAGATGTCTTCTTTTAGAAAGCTCAATGGAACTGTGTGTTTTGGTGAATAGTTCTTATGTAACATTCTATATCTGTTTGTATGGTATATATTTAAATATCAGACTCTCCAATGTTTAAGGATGATGCTATATAGTTGTGACTTACCGTTTTTGTTTTTATTTGTAATATACATTGTTTGTTATATTTTGGAAGTTTATGTTGTTTTGTTCACTGGATCAGGATACACACAACTGAACACGTGTCCTCCTGATTCCGCCCACCATGTTCGTCCTGGTCACAGTACAGACTACTGCTACTGGCTTCTTCTCTCCGAACAATCAGCTAAGGACAGCAATATACTGTGTCAGGAGAAAGGAGGCATACTCGCAACAATACCGGACCAGGACGCTCAGCGATTCGTGGAGAAACTGGTTATTTCTATGGATGGGTACATAGACTTATGTGTCATATCGTTTTGAATAATCCCGAAGCTCGATATGTCAGTCATACCGAGTGGTACACATTTCTGAAAATGTTTTTGTAGGCGAATTAGGGTATTTGTGTTAATACAAATGAACGCAATTAATGTAATGGATATTTTTTCTGGCCGTAAAGAGATATGAAATATTTGTGATCAACAGAATTTTTTATGACGGTAGAAAAATGATGTAATATCATCTCAAAATAATACAACTGTTACTCTCAGTTAATCGGACAAAAAGCATTTCCAAACAAACAAGTGTGTTTTGAATACTTTAATTACAGGGATTTTGAAGCGTATATCGGTGTGAACGATATATCAGAAAACAATGTTTACCGTACATACGACGGACAGGAACAGGCCTACTTTAACTGGGCTGGGGAGCACCTGGACAATATAGAAGACTATCAATGTGTTATCATCTCCAGAAAGTCACATCTTAAATGGAATGATATTTTCTGCTACTTCAACAAACAAGCAATTTGTTCCAAAGCTCTCCAAAAATATACCAGCACTCCATCACCTGATGCTCGGGAGTCTGCCACTCAAAATCATGTTGTCGAAGAAATTGCCTCCGCTTCAAATAATGTTTATATCGACCTGGACCTTACTGCAGCTCGAGAAACACAACCCATGTCGTACGTAACGATCAGTGATTATAACAATAATATGGACCTTAATTCTCCCTCGTCAATGGTGTTGACTTCTACCGAAACGCTGAAGAATTCGGCACCAGGAAGTACCGGATATAACACATTCTCTAGTACAGCCGATAAGCATGACAACGTGTATCCACTCACAGGATCAAATACATCTGTGAATCAAAAATCACAAAAGACAGTGAAGCAAATATCAACCCCAATAGTGAATAACAAAAGGATTCAAAAGACAAAAGCACAGATGAATCTAGAGTCTCAAACACCAGTGACTTTAAAGTCCAACAGACAGATAATTCAAGGAACAAACACACAGGCGTCAGCCACACAGATGAATCTAGAGTCCCAAATACCAGTGACTTTAAAGTCCAACAGACAGATAATTCAAGGAACAAACACACAGGCGTCAGTCACACAGATGAATCTAGAATTAAACACACCACAGATAACCAAACAATTGATTTCAGGGTCACTCACACCAATGGTTACAAAAGCAGGCACATCAGTTGAAAGCACCCGATTGATTCTAGGATTAAAGAGACAGCAAACGACCACACAAATACCGAACACATTATACACACCAAAGAATAACAAGCAGGTGGTTCAAGGATCATACAAACTAGAGACACAAGCACAGGTGACACCAGGTTTAAACACACCAAACATCCAGTTGGTTCATGAATCAAACACACCACAGATAAACACACAGGCGATTCAAGAATCAAACGTTCCAGAGAGAAACACACAAGTAAGTCAAGGATTAAACACTACAAAGACAAACACACACGTAAGTCAAGGATTAAACACACCGCAGACCAACACACACGTAAATCAAGGTTTAAACACACCAGAGACTAACACACAGGTGATTAAAGGATCAAAAGTACCACAGACCAACACAAAGTTGATTCAAGAATCAGGAAAATCACAGACCAACACACAGGTGATTCAAGGATCAGGAACACCACAGACCAACACACAGGTGATTCAAGGATCAGGAACACCACAGACCAACACACAGGTGATTCAAGGATCAGGAACACCACAGACCAACACACAGGTGATTCAAGGATCAGGAACACCACAGACCAACACACAGGTGATTCAAGGATCAGGAACACCACAGACCAACACACAGGTGATTCAAGGATCAGGAACACCACAGACCAACACACAGGTGATTCAAGGATCAGGAACACCACAGACCAACACACAGGTGATTCAAGGATCAGGAACACCACAGACCAACACACAGGTGATTCAAGGATCAGGAACACCACAGACCAACACACAGGTGATTCAAGGATCAGGAACACCACAGACCAACACACAGGTGATTCAAGGATCAGGAACACCACAGACCAACACACAGGTGATTCAAGGATCAGGAACACCACAGACCAACACACAGGTGATTCAAGGATCAGGAACACCACAGACCAACACACAGGTGATTCAAGGATCAGGAACATCACAGACCAACACACAGGTGATTCAAGGATCAGGAACATCACAGACCAACACACAGGTGATTCAAGGATCAGGAACACCACAGACCAACACACAGGTGATTCAAGGATCAGGAACACCACAGACCAACACACAGGTGATTCAAGGATCAGGAACACCACAGACCAACACACAGGTGATTCAAGTATCAGGAACACCACAGACCAACACACAGGTGATTCAAGGATCAGGAACATCACAGACCAACACACAGGTGATTCAAGGATCAGGAACATCACAGACCAACACAAAGTTGATTCAAGAACCCAGCATTCCTGAGAGAAACACACAAGTCGGTCAAGAGTTAATCATACCAGTGACAAATACAAAAGATGTTCAAGGATTGAATACATCAAAGACAAATACTCAAGTGGTTCAAGGATCAAACACACAACAGACAAACACACCGTTTATTCAAGGATCAAACACACAACAGACAAACACGCAAGTGATTCAAGGATCAAACACACAACAGACAAACACTATGGTGATTCAAGGATCAAACACACAACAGACAAACACACCGGTGATTCAAGGATCAAACTCACAACAGACAAACACACCGTTTATTCAAGGATCAAACACACAACAGACAAACACACAAATGATTCAAGGATCAAACACACAACAGACAACCACACCGGTGATTCAAGGATCAAATACACAACAGACAAACACACCGGTGATTCAAGGATCAAACTCACAACAGACAAACACACCGTTTATTCAAGGATCAAACACACAACAGACAAACACGCAAGTGATTCAAGGATCAAACACACAACAGACAAACACACCGGTGATTCAAGGATCAAACACACAACAGACAAACACACCGGTGATTCAAGGATCAAACTCACAACAGACAAACACACCGGTGATTCAAGGATCAAACTCACACCAGACAAACACACCGTTTATTCAAGGATCAAACATACAACAGACAAACACACAAATGATTCAAGGATCAAACACACACCAGACAACCACACCGGTGATTCAAGGATCAAATACACAACAGACAAACACACAAATGATTCAAGGATCAAACACACAGCAGACAAACACACAAGTGATTCAAGGATCAAATACACAACAGACAAACACACAAATGATTCAAGGATCAAACACACCTGTTCCGCAATGGTCAGTTACTCGAGTGTCAATGACACCAATGAATGACGTTTTATCAAAACCAGTGAGTCATGATTGGAATGAACATGTGACTCCCGGACCAATGATATCATATTACCGCGCCGAAGAAACAAAAATACAAGAACGACCCGATAAAACGGATAATCAAAGGTCATTTACAGCTGTTAACCAAATGTTTGAAACGGAAGTACTTCAAAGGTCATACACGGCAGATAATCAAACGTCTGAGACGGAAGTGACTCAAAGGGCTGAGACGGTAGTGAGGCAAAATTCATCCAGGTTTGATAAAATTACACACCAAAGTACAGATACTTCTGTGAATCAATGGTTACATATACACCGGAATCGAACGACAGATACACCTGAGAATCAACAGTCTGATACACCTGTGAATCAACAGTCTGATACACCTGTGAATCAACAGTCTGATAAACCTGTGAATCAACAGTCTGATACACCTGTGAATCAACAGTCTGATACACCTGTAAATCAACCATCAGATACACCTGTACATCAAAGGTCTGATACACCTGTACATCAAAAGTCTGGTACACCTGAGAATCAACAGTCTGATACACCTGACAATCAACAGTCTGATACACCTGACAATCAACAGTCTGATACACCTGTACATCAAAGGTCTGATACACCTGACTATCAACAGTCTGATACACCTGTACATCAAAGGTCTGATACACCTGTGAATCAACAATTAGATACACCTGAGAATCAACAGTCTGATAAATCTGTGAATCAAGTGTCTGATACACCTGTGAATGAAAGGTCTGATACACCTGAGAATCAACAGTCTGATACACCTGTTAATCAACAGTCTGATACACCTGTACATCAAAGGTCTGATACACCTGAGAATCAACAGTCTGATACACCTGTACATCAAAGGTCTGATACACCTGTGAATCAACAGTCTGATACACCTGAGATTCAACAGTCTGATACACCTGTACATCAAAGGTCTGATACACCTGTGAATCAACAGTCTGATACACCTGAGAATCAACAGTCTGATACACCTGTAAATCAAAGGTCTGATACACCTGAGAATCAACAGTCTGATACACCTGAGAATCAACAGTCTGATACACCTGAGAATCAACAGTCTGATACACCTCCACATCAAAGGTCTGATACACCTGAGAATCAACAATCTGATACACCTGTGAATCAACAGTCTGATACACCTGTGAATCAAAGGTCTGATACACCTGTGAAGCAACAGTCTGATACACCTGAGAATCAACAGTCTGATGCACCTGTGATTCAACAGTCTGATGCACCTGTGAATCAACAGTCTGATACACCTGTGAATCAACAGTCTGATGCACCTGAGAATCAACAGTCTGATACACCTGTGAATCAACAGTCTGATGCACCTGTGAATCAACAATTACATACACCTGAGAATCAACAATCGGATACACCTGTGAATCAACAATTAGATACACCTGTGAATCAAAAGTCTGATACACCTGTGAATCAACAGTCTGATGCACCTGAGAATCAACAGTCTGATACACCTGTACATCAAAGGTCTGATACACCTGAGAATCAACAGTCTGATGCACCTGTGAATCAACAGTCTGATACACCTGAGAATCAACAGTCTGATACACCTATGAATCAACAGTCGGATACACCTGAGAATCAAGGGTCTGATACATCTGTACATCAAAGATCTGATACACCTGACAATCAACAGTCTGTTACACCTTTGAATCAACAGTCTGATACACCTGAGAATCAACAGTCTGATACACCTATGAATCAACAGTCGGATACACCTGAGAATCAAGGGACTGATACATCTGTACATCAAAGATCTGATACACCTGACAATCAACAGTCTGATACACCTTTGAATCAACAGTCTGATACACCTGAGAATCAACAGTCTGATAAACATGTGAATCAAGTGTCTGGTACACCTGTGAATCAAAGGTCTGATGCACCTGTGAATCAACAGTCTGATGCACCTGTGAATCAACAGTCTGATACACCTGAGAATCAACAATTAGATACACCTGTTAAACGATGGATAGATACACATGTGAACCAAAGTGCTTCTGTGAATGAAACGTCTGATACACTGGCGAGATCAGTACCAAATGAAGTCAGTCCACATTCTGCTGCAGATCGCCAGGAAGAAAATATATCTATTAATCTAACGAAGAAACTACCAGAGGAAGAAATTGGTGAGCTTGTCAGATCTGTGACAAGTAAGATGGACACCTCTTTCACAAGTGAGATGGACACATCTGTAACTGGTAAGTTGGACACATCATAGACAAGTAACATGGACACATCCGTGACATGATAGACAACTCCATGACAAGAAACATGGACAACTCCGTGATAAGTAACATGGACAACTCCATGACAAGTAACATGGGCACATCCGCGAAACGTAATTGGGATAAATCCCTGACCAGTAAGGTGGACATATCCCTGACCAGTAAGGTGGACACATCCCTGACCAGTAAGGTGGACATATCTGTCACCAGTAAGGTGGACACATCTGTCACCAGTAAGGTGGACACATCCCTAACCAGTAACATTGACACATCCCAGACCAGTAACATGGACACATCCCTGACCAGTAAGGTGGGCACATCCCTGACCAGTAAGGTGGACACATCTGTCACCAGTAAGGTGGACACATCCCTGACCAGTAACATTGACACATCCCTGACCAGTAACATGGACACATCCCTGACCAGTAAGGTGGGCACATCCCTGACCAGTAACATGGACACATTCCTGACCAGTAAGGTGGACTAATAGCGAGGGTATGTTTTTAACTTAAACATTTCCTGCATAATTGCCAAAATCAACATTTATGAAGTTCACTAGTTCACAGTTAATTAAGTATTCTTGCGAGGGCATGATTATATATTAAGCCATTAATATTTCTAAAATTTATCCTCACGAATTCCCAAAATACTTGCCCGTAACACAGGTACTATAAATGTACTATAGTGACAAAGGTTCTCACTTTCTTCAACAAGAACCGCCATATTGGGTTTCTGTCGCCTATGGTAAATATACACCGTTACCGGACATCACTCCTTAAACTGAGTCACTAATTATGATGAATAATTCATATTTCAAGGATGAAAAATCAAACGAATTTCAAACTTTCTTTTAAAATCTTTTCAATATTAAATAAAAACCAAACAATAGGGAAAAACTTGAGGGTAGCACTCAAATGTGAAATGGTAACGAATTAATTCAAAGTTGAAGATTTCAAAAATATTTAAACAGATTTAAAAGGAAAATTGTATTCAGATGAAGACAAAATGGGATAAGAAGAGAAATGTAGCTTTGTGTCATGATTTCACATGAGGTGTATTCTACTGAATGAATCACGGAGGTTGCTTTATAGTTGTCCTGATGTAATGTAAATAGAGGAGCGGGTATAATGATTTACACCAGTGCTTTCACACATCTTAGCAGGAATTATCTATGCAGAGAACATGCAGAAGGAAACAGCTATGATTGCAGGTTCACACGAGTTATTTCCCCTTTAACACACTTGCATAATGCTATCGGCCTCATGACAACATGAAGTGAAACACTGCAAAGAAAAGCTGACTCGGTTACTGAAAGAAAAGGTGAAAGAAAACTTTCGACACAGTTTGGTAAATATAAACTGTACCACAACCACAGATGTTATAGTATCCTTCCAGTGGGACATCGGAGCTTTGTCTTGGATAGAATTCAGTTCAAATTTTGTGGACTACTAAAAATACAACAAGGGCAACTGGTCAAATTGAGATCAGGTTCCAGGTTTGTTGACGACACGTGCCACGTGCATCTTGGTCAATCCAAGTAAGTAATGTCACGTTCTCAAATGACAACCAAACAATTTATACACCAACTGAACCAACAGGCAAACTAACGAGCATCAAACACATCTAAATGTATTTCTCAAAAATGTGAGATCATTACGGTGACCATAGAACTCCCCATAACCGTCATCAACAGCACGTGATAAGCTCTGAATGAGCCCTCTGCCGGCAAACCTTGTCAGTACATTTTCTCTATAGAAAGGAATTAAATAGAAATAAACATCATATGAAAATATAAGTGAAACATATATTATTGTGTTATGATAAACAAGTTCATGTTGTATCTGGACCTGTTATTGGTTAGGTAATTATTGTAAATTGTTGTTGAAACTGTATATTCAACCCTCTAACACAGCTTCCGAAAATTGTCCTTTCACTCCCTAATCAAAGTCGAGCGAAGGAAAAATGCACATTTTTATTTAAATGACTGAAAAATATTTTAATCAACATTTATGAAATCATAATAATCACAACACCTATCGACGTATTATTACTGTTATATTTTGCAGTTAGTGGCAAGTTCGTTCACAGGACTGGTGACAATGGCGAGGGACCCTCGGGAGCCCCTCTCAAGTCGGTAAGCGTTCGGAGTGCTATCGCCTGTGCCAGTGTTTGCCAGAGGTTAGCTGTGTGTCGATCCTTCTACTACAGCCGCGTCACTTCCGCTAAATGCGTTATCTTTGACGACAAAACATATGAATATACCCCATCTATAGCAGGTATGGAGTATTTTGTAAAGGCGGTGTAGGATGACCCAATCTATCACCGGACTTTAAAGACAGTTCATTTCGTTTATGGAGAATCGCCGATATGTTCCGAATGGCATTGAATGATGACGCAGAGAACTAGATAACCCGATCTGTCCCAGTGTCAATTACAGTACCCATGTTGCGACTATAAAATACAACCATTGTGTGAGTACATCATTAAGTTTTACAATCTTTAGTTATTTGTTTGAATGATGCTTTAATGAAAAAAACTGCTTCTAGAATATCGCATATATCCTTAAGTCTCTAACACAAAGACTTGTTTTTTCATACATCATTTTTCTCCCGATTCCATTATCGACAGCCAGAGTCACCCCAGTGCGACAAGTTCAAGGTTATTATCTATCTTTTGACATCATCTAAGTAACTAATGCCGACTGGAAGTGTGGGTTGATTCCTTCCATATGTGATATTTAATGGCGATGAAGATTGGAAATACTTAATTGCCATTCTTACTTACTAAATATATTCCCATGAGGGGAGCACCCCCCCCCTTCACGTCGCCAGAGAATCGACACACGTCGATTGGACTCTGCGAGGCGACGGGCAGAGTCAAGGCGAAACCTTCATCATCATCATCATTGCTAAATATAGTAACTTAATAATATAGTAGACAATGCTACATCATATACGTTAAACACGTGTCAGTAGCTGTAAAGTAAATGGAAAATAATATAGATGTATGTCTCCCGATTCTATATGGCTTCTATCCTCCCGATATGATATCTATATCCCGTCCAGACCAGCAACCCCTGATAAAGGCTGCCACAACGTACATGATTTACAATATAAAGTACAGATTTCCACTCACTGACATTTCATAACAAGTTTCGATACGATCCTCTGACAGCTGCAAAAGGACGATATTGCGTAAAGCTGTCTATTCGAATAAACAGTCAATTACAGCATCGTTTTTTTTTTTTTTTTTTACTTTATTTTTTTTATTAAAAATGATACACGGAGCATGTGCTATATCAACTGTTTCAGTCGTTTAACACAACATACTGTTTTTGTTTTGCTTTTTTGTTTGTTTTTGTTTTCATTCGTGTTTCGGTTTCTGTACTTTTATACCTCTATGTAATTTTATGTATAAAGAATTTTCATGACTTTTTATGTGTGCAAAAATCCCCAATATGTTCCTATGATTCTGGTTTGTGCTAAAACACTAGAAAATACCGAAATGTTGTCAAAGCGGTATTATAGACTCAGAAGCACTATCGATGAAGTGTAAAGAGAATAAGAGTCTTGATGACACCCGCCATGTTATTCCTGGTCAATTCAAGTAAGTTATGTCACGTTCCCAAATATTAACAGTAAAACCAGCAGACATACTCACAAACATCAAACATATCTCTCATGTCGAACAAGGCTCGAAATATCATATTTCCTTGTTGTTTTAATCACCATGTATCTCGCAAAACCCAGTGTTGTAAATACATCTGTCAATTGTCGAAATATTTCTAGGAAATGATGGTATTGGTAAATGTTTTAAACTTAATCCGATGTACTTATACCTGTATTTACCCAACCTGTATTCACTTATCCTTGTTTTATTTCAAATTGATATAACAAAAAGGGATGTCTTCGATAAGGTAGAATGGAAGAAAATGTCCTTTGGTGCAACTGAAAAAGAAAAGTCATGGCTAATGATAAACCAGACTTTTGTGAATGGCCAGTACAGATTAGTAGAATAATTTCACTTTCTCCGACTTGTTTGAGAACGACTTTGTAGGAAATCTATAACCAGTGTTTATTTTAAGCACTGAAAATCAGCATATGTGAGATAAGGAACCAATTTGCACTCTCAAGGTTATGAACCTAAGGACCAATGTCCGTGTTAATGGCACGTTAGCTATAATTAGTATGTATCTGGACACACGCTATATTTGGAAACGAAATCTACTTTAAAAATGAGCACTATTGACCGAAGATAACACTGGGTATGTAAATGTTTTGCCCGATAATGAATTCTCTTGCGGACGAAAAGCTCCCAGTGGTTTTTAAAACGTGCTCAAGGATAAACGATTGTGGTTATTAGTTATTTGAAGACTGAATCCCGTCTAACACCGCTTTATATTGTAAACACGCACCACTTAGGCACTAGGATTGCTTTTATCAGAATCAATACGATAAAACCAGTCTTGTCTCCAGGGCAACACAATGGATAAGACGGCGAATAGTTTCGTTAGAAATGCAAAGAAACGCTTGCGACGAGTTTGTTAACAACTACCTCATAATTTGTAACTATTTAAATCCTTGTTTAATTAAGGCAGGTTTGCCCAGGCTAACTGAAGATCCAGTACATCAGATTTAATATTGTGTAAGATGAATCAGCAACGAATTGTTTACATTGTCCTTTGACACGACATAACGGAAGACCAGCAGTGACTGTTAACAACGTATTTGATTGGTTTATAAAACGCGACGACAGGCATCTTAATCTTAAAAACGTTCATGAAAAAAAAATTAAACATTTTTATAACGGTTTTCAAAACAGAGAAATCTTTGTTACGTAACACTGTCTGTATACGACAACCTTTTGTTCAGTGAGATATGTTCTGCTTGAATAAAAAAAAATACAAACCACGAGAATGACAGAGAGACAGAAGAAGAGCAATGTTATTTGAGCTACGAGAGGCACTAATAACAATAATTCATCGCGCCACCAT